TGACCTCCACACATGTGCTGCGGAATGTGTGCATGCACAGGTGCACACGCACACACACATTAAATAAATGTAAAAAATGTAGCCTTCATAGTCTGTGAAGGCAGACAGAGTTTAAAAACACTTTACGCTGAGGAGAGCTGGGACTACAGACACAGTTCATTTAGTGACAGTTTTTGGTTGTGTGTGATTGGCAGGGGGTGGGGGACTTGTTATTGTTGCTGTTTTGAGTTAGAGTCTCATATAGACCACGCTGGCCTTGATTTTTGCTCCTCCTACCTCTATAGAGCTGGAGATTGGAGCATTCTGCACTACTTCTAGCTGACATGCCATCTTTGCTCTCCTCTTTCCCTCCCTCCTGCCTGCTCTCTTTCTTTCAGGTTGAGTCTCATGTATCCCAGGCTAGCACAAAATTCTCTATGGAGCTCAGGAGGAACTTGAGTCTCTGATCCTTTTGTCTCCACTCTTGAATGTGGGGGGTGTCTCAAATGTGTGCCATCACATTCGGTTCTCTGTGGCACTGGCAGCTGAATCCAGGCTCTAGTGCGTGGTTGGCGAGGACTCCTCACCCGCATCACTTCTCAGCAATCACCACCAGCACCCTCTAGTCCCATTTTAGTCAGTGTCACATGTTTGACACTCCTTATCTCAATTAACTATCACCCAAATCTTTCTTTTTGATAAGCACACACCCAAGAGCAGAAAGTACCTAGAATCCACTGAAGGGTTTTGTATTCCAAGGTCGCCTCAGGCTAAGGATCCAGGAAGGAATCCAGGACTGCTTAATTACTCCTGCCCCAGTCTCTCCTTCCCATCCGCCCCCTGCCAAATGTCAAGTCTCTCATTCTAACAGAATAAGTCCCATGCTTGTTTGATTCAAAATTCTGCTTCCAGTTTGGGAAAGAAGCTCAGCTCAGAAGGCAGAGGGCTTGTCTACCACACATAAAGCCCCACTTGGATCCTGGAGAGTAGAAATGAGATGTGGTGATGGACCCCAGAACCCAGGATCTGAAGTCATAAAAACCAGAAACATAATGTCTTCCTCATAACCTGGGCTACATGATACCCTGTTTCAAAAGAAGTAAAGAAGGGGCAAGGGACAGCTCGATAAGTAATGTGGAGGACTTGAGTTCAATCTCCAGACCCCATGTAGAAAAAGCTGGGTATAGATGTACACTTGCAATCCCAGCTTCGTAGGTCCCAGGGCTACTGGCCAGTCACAGGTCCCAGTAAGAGACCTTGTCTCAAAATACAAGGTGGAGGGTTGATCTAGGTTGACCTCTGGCCTCCACCTACCTGTGCTCAGCACATACACACACCCTCAACCACACACAAATATGCATACATATTCAACACACCGAGGTTCACACACATACACAAACACACAGGCAAGCAATTGTGCTTCCCATCAGCTGGAGTGCGTAGCAAAAAAGCAGGTGCTCAAACTCAGGGAACTTGGGAGGCAGAGGCAGAGGCAGGTGCATCTCTGTGAGTCCAGCCTGGTCTACAGAGCAAGTTCCAGGACAGGCTCCAAAGCAATACAAAAAAAAAAAAAAAAAAAAAAAAAAACCCTGTCTGGAAAAACAAACAAACAAACAAAAAACAAAAACATCCATACATAGCCTATATGCTGCAAGTACTAGCCTTGCTCTGGCCCTCAGTGCAGCTCCACCCACAAAGGATGGTGGTGTCTTTTCCCTCTTGTTAGTATTTCATTGCAAATATCATCACTTATTTTGAATAGGATTGGGAGTTTGGTAATTTCTTATGTTTTTGGTTGTGAGCCTAGCCTTTAACGGCTGAGCCATCTCTCTAGTCTGGGGGTTTGATAATTTCTAAAGATCATTTTGAGGCTGGCATTCTGTGTCCCGATAGCTGGTGAGATATACTTCAGAGCCTGGCCTGGGCGCATGATGTTGTGGATGAACATCAGTGAGCATCCATCTACCTGATTTTCACAGACTGCATGAGAGATGAATTGTGTAAAAGTGCATGCCTATCATGCACTTCCACCTTCTCTCTCTCTCTCTCTCTCTCTCTCTCTCTCTCTCTCTCTCTCTGTGTGTGTGTGTGTGTGTGTGTGTGTGTGTGTGTGTGTTGTATGCTTGTGTGGGGGACAGAGTACACACATGCATCAAGGCCAAAAGAGGACATCATGTACCCTGCTTTATCACTGTGTTTCTTGTTCCCTTGACGAAGGGTCTCTTACAAATGTGGAGCTAGGCCAATAGTGAGCTAAGCCAAAGCAATCCTGTCTCCACCTCCTACCCCAGCAGCAATAGGGTTTTAGGCATACGCAGAGCCACACCTGGCTTTGTAACCATGCTTGTGCAGCAAGGGTTCTTGCTCCCTAGCCATTTCCCCAGCCCCCTTTTTCAAGTTATCTTTTAATGCTTTTATACCACAGCCCCCACTTCCTGCCTCTGCTATTTGATTGTACATAGTCTTTTCAAGGTGTGTTTTTTTGAGTGTGCACTTGGCTACTTTGGAGCCTCCCTCTTAGAGGAGGGAGTGGCAGAAAGGATGGGACTCTGTCTTTTTTCAACACAAAGCAAAACAAAACACAGGCAGTGTGGTTCTCCTCCCAGGTGGGGCTTTTTGAGGGTGCTTGTTGACACTCTAGAAGAGTAAGAGGTTGCCACCTGCCTGAGTCATTCACCTCCCAACTTGGAAACTCCCTTCCAGGCTAAGGGGTGGCAGAGGATGCCAGGCTAAGGGCATCTGCCTTCTGCCAGCTCCATGTCCCATGTCTAGGGGGATGGAACCAAAGAAACCCTCATTACTAGGTTTAACATCCATCAATGCATGTAACCCACATCTGGGCATCACCATCATTTCTCAGATGCTAGTGTATGCTGAGCCTGTGATTTTATTGTATTCATCCCTACAAACACCTGAAGGGAGGTACAATCATCCTCTAAACCTGGGCTTTAGAGACCACTGGGTAGTAAGAGGCTGAGTTGGAGCCTGTGCTTCTGTAAGAAAGTGAGAAAGGTGTGGGGGTGACACTTGGTAGCTTGCCTAGCATGCTGGAAGTCCTGTGTTATATCTCCTGCAGTGGTGGTGCATGTCTGCAATCCCAGAACATGGGAAGTGGAGGCAGGAAAATCAGGAGTTCAAGGGACCAACCTTCCTTGCAAGTTTGAGGCCAGGGAAGGGAAGAGAAAGATCCATTTTGACACTGTGGAGACAACATAGCACTGTGGATAGAAAGCAAACAGGACCCGGAAAACCAAGGCCCTGGGTTCTGGTTTTGGTTGTGTCATTGTGTGAGGTCCTGAGCAATGCTGAGTTTCAAAGTGGCTCTGATGGTGCAGTGCTCTGGAGTGAAACCTAAGACTTACAAGACGGGATAAGAAGCAATGACCTTGAGTGGATGAGTGGAACTGATAAGAAAGTTCTGGGTGTGGTTGTGCAAAGTTATCTCACTTGAAGCTCAGGCGGGAGGATGAAGAGATCTAGACCAGTTTGGGACTACATGGTGAGACCCTACCCACCTACCTCAAGAGAATCATCCACTTGTAGGAGTCAGCTTTCAAACCCCTTCCACATCGTGGGGCCCAGGGATTGAAGTCAGGTCCTCAGACTAGTCAGCAAGCACCTTTACCTAACTCTGATCCATCTCATTGGTCCGTGGGTATTTTATGGGTGGTGATAATAGTAGAGCTTTTTGTTTGTTTGTTTTGAGACATGGTCTTACTGGATAGCTGTGTCTGGCCTTGAACTCACCCTGTAGACCAGGCTGGTCTCAAATCCCAAGTGCTGGGATTAAAGGCTACCTAGGAATCATGGACATTTGTAAGAATGAAACCATTCAACCTTCTGAGGTCAAAAATCTCATCAAAACAGTGGAAAAAGTATGCAATCAGAATGGAAATCAGTGGAGACTTCATTTTAAAGGAAATCTCAGTGGTAGATAGTGGCAGGAATGAAGAGATGGGACAAGATTTAAGAAGTGAACATTCCAGGAAGAGGTAAATTCGGAAGCATGGGGGAAAGAGGCAGAGAGACCCAGACAGATCTTTGGGGAACTAATACATGGAACAAAGGACCACCCAGTTCTCCCTGCAGGGTGATGGTACAACCTCTCTTAGGATGCCTGGTCTTTTTCCTTTCAGAGTCTAGGAACATGCATGCTTCTTTCCATAAGAGATGGGAATTGTGCCGGGTGGCAGTGGCACACACCTTTAATCTCAGCACTCAGGAGGCAGAGGCAGGCAGATCTCTGTAAGATTGAGACCAGCTGAGATCGAGACCAGCCTGATCTACAGAGCTAGTTCCAGGACAGGCTCCAAAACAATACAGAGAAACCCTGCCTCGAAAAACCAAAAAGAAAAAAGAAAGAAATGGGAATTGTTTTGAAAACCTGCTAACTCCTTAGAGGTAACTGGGACACAGGTCACACAAAGCCTGGAAGGAGGGTCCTTGGAGAAGCTATACATTTAAGTAGGTGCCTGTTCACAGTCTCTGTTGATAGAACTCTTTTCATGTAAAATGAGGGCATGTATGAACTAACCCCCTAGATCCTCATCCCCAGTCCAGAAGATGAAGACCTGTGAATGTTTTCAACAATTCCAGTGACAGAGAATGTTTCAATCTTCTTCCTCAAAAGCATATTGTCCTTCATTTTTAAAGGGTTGTCCTTTATTCCAAGGTCAAGGCTTTCTACCTTTCAGAATCGTGTATGTTCATGTATATGGGGCCCAGAGATCAACGTCAGGTGTATTTCTCAGTTGCCTTTTACACACACCCACCCACCCACCCACCCTGAGGCTGGGCTTGAACTCAGGATCCTTCTGCCTCAGCTTTCAAGTGTCGAGAGGGCAGGTCCTGTAGCTGAGAACTAGAACAGACCCCGGTTCTTGCTTCGCAGCAGATGCTTATAACCCTCCAGCGGGACCGGATTGTACCTGGGAGGTCGGCTCAGTGCCCTGAGATCCCCTACATTTGAGCCCTGAACTGCTCCACCCAGTGGAGTCGCTGCGGCTGTTTACATCGCAGGCCCCACCCCCGGCGCCCAGCGCGCGGCGCCATTGGATGGACAGCCCGTCGGTCTCCGGGGACTTTCCCAGGGGCGTGGCGTGGCCCCGGCATTTCCTGGTACCGGCCGGAGCTTAGGGCAGCTGAGTCTGGCCCGGTGCCCCGAAGTTCTCGTCCTAGGGTGAGCGGGGCCGTTGTGGGGATGGGCAGGCTGGAGGAGACCGGGGCCTGCGCGGGGCGTGAGGGCTAATGGTGGGAGTCCCAGCGTCGTGAGGTGTCGGCGTCTCCGTCGTCAGGCTTCGGAGACTCCCGGCCGGCAGAGCCAGCCGGGCGCGCATGCGCGCTGCCTGCGGAGCTCGCCTGGGACTGGCCTGTGGACCCCCAGAGAACAAAGTTTGGGTAGAATTGTGCAGACATCATAATGACGAAAATTATCATCATAGCCACGCATATCGATCAATTTCCAGATAGGCTTTTCTTGTTTGTTTTGAGACCAGGGCTCACTGTCTGGTCTGGAATTAGCTATGTAGAACAGGTTGACCTCAAACTCAGAGACTCTCCTGCTTTATTCTGGAGTGAGAGGTTAAAAGGCATGCAGCCAATTGTAGATCTAAACTTTTAGTGTGAAACTCATTCACCTGTGACATTCATTCTAGGCATGACTGTTACCTTTTTTTTTTTTTAAATCATTTATTTGTTTGCATGTAAGGTAGTGGACGAACAACTTGCCTGAGTTATTTTTCTCCTTCCAAACCTTGTGAGTTCCTGCCTGGGTTTGAACTCGGGTGCTCAGGCTCGGTGGCCAGCATTTTACTTGTTATCTAGCCAACCATTCTCCTTGAAATTAATTTATATCTTCACCTCACCAATGAGGAACACGGGCAACTTGCAGATTGTATTTTTCTTACTTAATGGTTTTTTTGAGACAGGGTGTCTTTGTGTAGCCTTGGTTGTCCTGGAACTCGATTTGTAGACCAGACTGGTTTTGAACTCCAGAGGTCTGCCTGCTTCTGCCTCTCCAGTGCTGGGGTTAAAGGCTTGCATCACCACTCGGGGCTAATTTATAGATTGTAATCTCAAAACTAGTAATTGCAAAGTTGGGATTCCAACCCAAATGTTTGGCTGCAAAGCCCCTAGCTCTATCCTTACTGAGCTTGCTTTGCACAGCTTAGGAGGCTTTGTGTACACAGGTGCTGGGTAGATAACAGTGAGTCTCTGAGAATGATTTGGGAGGGATTTTATGCTTTGCTTTGCATTTTGTCCTGTGGGAAGTTTCTGGACCTCTGTGTGAGATCATGTGTATGGAAGTGGTTTGCTGTGCTTGTATTCACTGCCCAGCAGTGGGTGGGAATTTGGTGCTGTCAGTGAGGAACTGTTTTGGTAAAAGGGAGGGAGGGACTTTCAGGGATGAAGCAAAAGTCTCAGCAGTAGCCGTCCCCACCCCCTTGCTGAATGACACTGTGGGAAATGTGTGGATTCCTGATGCATCATTTTGATTTCACAGTCAGTCAAAGTGGGATTTGATCAGCTATTACTCATGCTATCAACAATGAGGGGTGTGGTAGAGGGGAATTCAGAATCATGAGTGGACATTCAAGGGACTCTCAGAATGGTTTTTTGGTCCTTGACACTAGGAGAGTGTCACTAAGTAGGCTCAGTATCCCTTTGTCTCTAGCAAATGGCCTGTGAAATTAACCCATATTGATAATTCTAGTAACTCTACATTTGAGATTTTAAAACCTTTCTTTCCTTTCTTTCTTTCTTTCTTTCTTTCTTTCTTTCTTTCTTTCTTTCTTTCTTCCTCAGATAGAGTCATATAGTCTAGGCTGACCTTGAGCTCTTGTAGCTAAAGATGATCTTGAACTCCTGGTCCCCCTGCTTCTGCCTGCTGGGATTACAGAGATGTTCCATCATGTCTGGCTCTCGTTTATTCTTTCTGACCATCCTTATAGTGGTTTTCAGGTTTCATAGTCATCAGTTTTCAGCTCGACCTTCTGTTGTTGTTGGTTTTTAGTTTTACATGTGTTTGTGCTTGTGTGGAGGTGAGGGCATGCCAGGGTGCCCATGCCCGTGTGGAGTTTGCTGTTTCCTTCTCTCATGTGGGTTTCAGGGCTTGAACTCAGGTTGTTGGGCTTGGTGGCTGACATCTTTACTTACTGAGCCATCTCAACAGCTCTAAACTCTGTTATATTTCACACCAGGGTCTTCATAGCCCAGGCTAGCCTTGAGTTCACTTGTAGCAGAGGATGACCTTGAACTTCTGATCCTTCTGCATCCACTTGAGTGCTGGGATTAGAGGCATGCACTACAACGCCTGGTTTATGTGGTGTGCTAGGGGTTGAACCCAGGTCTTCTTCATTCATGCTAGGGAAGCACTCTACCAGCTGAGCTACACTCCATCCCCAAGGGCCCTGTTCTTTTTCCACTGGCATAGACTGTCGTCCTGTGAAAATATTTAGGGGCTAGTCCTTTGTGGATGAATTTAATCTTGTCCCTCTGAGAGCAACAGATGGGAGTGGTCTGCATACTTACATATGATGATCATGTTGTCCCCTCCACGTGGGTGTCCTGGGAGTGTGGGTACAGTATAGCGGGGGGTGGGTGCCTGTCCCTGGATGCCCATAGCAGCTCCCGTGGGGCCCCAGGAAGCCATGGGTCTGACTCATTCCTTCACCCCTAGTGCTGCTGTGTCTCTGGCCCGGATGTCCTGGCTGGGTCAGGCCGACCTGGTTTGAGTATGATGCCCTGAGAGGTTTGTCTGCCTCCCTCCACTGGTTACCAGCTCCCTTCTGTGACCATTGTGATTTGGCAGGCCATGCCACGTGCTCTTTCCCAGCTCTGTGTGTGCTAGGGTTGCTCGCAGGCTAAGTCCTCCCAGAACACAGTTCCCAGCCCTTCCCATGGCAGCTTTTTCCTTATCTACCGACTCTCAGCTCAAATGTCACCTTCTCGGAGGGGGCCTTCCCTGTTCTTCCTATGCAAAATAGCCCCCTTTCACTTTCTGTCACATTACTACTTTTTTTCATTCATTTATCACGATCTAAAATAAGTTTTTGTGAGCAGTATGTGATGTGGGGGTGCAGGCTTTTGCTCCCTGCACTCAGGAGGCAGAGGAAGGGCAGATATCTTGAGTCCAAGACCAGCCTGGTCTACAGAATGAGTTCTGGGATAGATAATGGAGGGTATGTTTTCTAATACTCCTCTGAGCTTCCATCCCGGAGGTATGAGGGCCTTACCTGTTGTGAGGGCCCACACCTGTGTGTAAGGGCCTAGCTTTACCTTCAGGGCTGCTCCTGGTGGGGAGCTCTTCCTGATAGCATCAGAAGCCAGTGGACAGTGAATAAGGCTAGCCATCATGGATATAACTAGAGTGTGAAACCATTTGGGGGCACCTAATTGGTTAAGAAGGGCTCCCAGAGGGAGGTGACATTAAGGGTAGGCCCTGGAAAGATGGTGGAGTAAGACCTGGACCTTTCAGGGTCTGAATGGACATGGCAGATATGAAGTAAGACTGTTCTTAGCTGGGGAGTTGTCAGCTGGGCTGGGCAAGACCCCCAAAGATCCCAGGCATGGGAGTATCGTTTGGATGCTCAGATGGCTGGGCTTTGCAGCAGAGCTGATGGGTGCCAGTGCTGGTGTGAGGCTGGTACAGTCTCCACCCCACTGTGACAGCTCCTGGTGTAGACCCTTGCTTCCTCACCCAGCTCCAAGGGATGGCAATATCACCCTGCAGCGTGGTGGGAGATCTCTCTGAGGTTATTGCTGAGGCTGTTGGAATCTCAGCCACAGGTGGCAAGTGACCGACCCCACTTTCTGGGCTTCTGAATAACTCTCCTCCAGCCTTCTCCTGACCTGTGCTCTGTGCTCTCTGAATGACTTGTCCTTTGCTCTGTCCCAAATGTTGGGCCTAGGATGTGGCCCAGTTAGTTGAGCACTTAAACCTACCGTGAGTGAAGTCTTTGGTTCCATTCCCAGTCCTGCATAAACAGGTGTGTTGGTGAATACCTATAATTCCAGCACTCAGAAGGTAGTGGCAAGAGAGCCAGAAGTTCAAGATCATTCTTGGCTAATGTTTCGAGTTTGAGGCCAGACCCTGTCTCAGAAATCCAAATGAAATGAATACTCCAAATGAATACTTGTCCATTCATTGGGTGGTCCGCGTGGGCTCCAGCTGGGCCAGGCCTTCTTGTGCCTCCCTGCTGATGTCCCCTACATGCCCCTTCTTCTCCCTGTCCACCTTGGCCCTCAGGAGGGGTATTATGTCTCCAGCCACAGGCAGACCTTGGCAGCCAGCAGGCTGCTGCAGGAAATTAGTTCTCTATTCTTTCCATGACCTGCACTGGACAGTCACCCTGGTGACTGGAAAGGGTGACTGCTGAGGAGTGGCTGACTCCTTAATGATGGCTGTCCCTGCAGGGCTGCCTTTCCTCACTGACCTTGTCCCCAGGCTGTTCCTGAGTCCTGAGTTGTGGAACATTTTCTTTGCAGAGCACAAAGGTGAACAGACCAAGGCCTCGGCCTTGGCAGGTGGGTGAGGGTGGAGATGAGGAGTCACTGAGGCCAGAGTTGGCCTTTGTAGGTTGGAGGAACCTGTAAGTCAGGGGTCTCAGCTTGGTCTCACCTCTTCTGTAACTACCCTGCTATAGGTCCCTCAGCCCTGATCTTTACCTGGCTAGCCTCGGCTAACCACCAGCCACTATGTCTTTTGAGACAGGCTCTCTCCCCCTGGCCTAGGACTCACCAATTAGGCTAGACTGGCTGGCCTGTACCTTCTGGGGATTTACCTGTGTGTCCACCTTCTCAGCTTTGGGACTGCAAACTGTGTCCCCAGGCTGGCCTTGCACTCATGCTGGGATTGCTGGTGGGCCATCATGCTTGGCTTCTGGCTTTTTAAGTTTATTACTACATTAATTTATTGTGTGTCTGTGTGAAGGTCAGAGGACAACTTATAAAGGAGTCAGTTCCCTCCTGTCAAGGGGGTGAGAGCAAGGTTGGGTTGTCAGTTTAGGGAGCAAACACCTTTTTTTAAAAAAAATATTTTTGCCATTTTTTTAAATTGAACTATACATTTTCCCCACCCCCTTCCCTCCTCCCCTCTCCCTTTCCACCTTCCCCCTGCCTCCTACACTCCCAATTTACTCAGGAGGTCTTATCTTTTCCCCCTTCCTAGGTGGATCCATG